GGTTATGCGATCGCATAATGGACCGCATATTTAACCTCAAATTTGACTAACACACTGACTCACTTTGTGGTGACTATGCCCCCTATGCGGTCTGCATACCTTATATGCGACCGCATTCTCGACCGCAAAATCGCACTTCTCTGGAAAACATTATTTCTTAACTTTTTAATGCACTGTTCAATCCAAAGGGGTCCGAACCGCGGCGAGCTTTTATGAATCTTAAGACATGCTCCTAACTTGGCACCACGGGATTCGGGGTTCTGAGTAGGAAATTTGCGGGGCCTTACAGTATTTATGGTATGAAGTTGTTTTGTCTAGATTTGAGACATTCAGAGTTAGATAATCGCGAGAAAGGCTTACTAGTGGATTGAGTTAGCGTGTTTTGAGATAAGTGTCTTGCCTAACTTTGTATAGGGAAATTATCCCCTAGGATTGGTGTTGTTTTGTGTTAATATTTGTATGTGAAAACCGTGTACGCAAGGTGACAAGTGTGTAAAAAGGCTAAATATTGTAATTGACCGGTTTTAGCTATGTAGATTCCTTTCATGCCTTTTATTGAGTACCATAACATATCATATTCATCATCATTTGTATCTTCACATGCTTTACTTGACATCACTAATACTTGTCTTATCTCTTACTTGCTAATTGTCTTTGTATATTTAGTTGAATTTATTGTTCTCTCAATTCCTTATTTATTATTTAACTGTTTAGTTCTTTTACTTGAAGTTGTTATTTCTTGGAATATCTTATTGTTGTATTTGGTATTGAAGTTATAAAGGTCATGATTCACATTGAGGCAAAGTTGTACATTTGTTTAAATAACATTCTTGTTGAGTTATTCATTTTAGTTGCTATTGTTGCGACTCTTGTACATATTGTGGTTAAGCCATGGGCTACTTATCGTGGAAACACTATGATTGTTGACATCTTTGGCAAGTTGTGTTATTAGGCATTTGAGGTGCGATTTGTGAGATGTTGTGATATTGATACGTATGCGATGGTACAAGGATTGGGGTTGAAACGCATGCGGTGAGATACGATGGGCTTGATAAGCGTGTTTCTAGTAGGGGAACTACTCGAAGCCACACTGTGTGATAAGGTGGGCTAAAACGCGGGTAGCTATTTCGAGAAAATGATTTCTAAAACTAAACACAAGTCTCCCGCAATGATATAAGAAAATATTGTAATTTTATTTGTGATATGAGACTACGAGGCAGTACCTCGGTAGTGAATATTGTTGATACCTTTCATTTACATCCCTTGGGTTTTGGTTGAATTATTTCCTTGGCATTCTTATTATGTGTTACTTCCGTGATGCCTTAATTGCCTTAGTCTCAGTGTAATTATTCTTGTTATATTTCTTCCTTGTATCATTTCACTGTTTTCATTATCATACTATGCTATACATGTTTAGTTTCAATATTTATTCCAGTAGGTGTCTTGACTCGACCTCATCATTACTCTACTGAGGTTAGACTTGATACTTACACGATACCGTTGTGATGTACTCATGCTACGCTTCTAGACATCTTTTTGTATAGATCCATGTACTTTATATCACCCTAGGCACCAGTGAGTCGAGCTCAGATCGGAGACTTCAAGGTATACTTGTCGGTGTTCGCAGGCCTCGGAGTCACCCTCAATCTAGCTCTATTCCATTTTCTTTTTTATAGACACTGTAGTATATGGATATTCTATATACTCTTGTAGAGTTTGTGATTTGGTATCACCGGATTTTGGTAGCTAAGTTCAGTTGAGTTGCGGAGTCTTTTTATGATAGGTATTTTTTAAATTGAATGTTTTGTTATTATTTCAATTAAATTCTACACGTATGCTAGGCTTACCTAGTCTTAGAGACTAGGTGACATCACGACATCCTATGGAGGGAAATTGGGGTTGTGACACTCATCGAGGTTAGGTCGATAGTTATTGTGTATATTGGGTCGGTTATACTCATTGTACACTTCTGCACTTGTTTTGTAGATTCAGGTATTGGTCCCAATGGAGTCCAAGGAGGTGCTTAGCTAAAGACATTGGAGAGTTGAGGTAGAGCTACATATATGTTCGTAGCCCTTGAAGTGTCACAACCAAAATCGAAGGGGCGCAACAGGCACCCGGTGCCTTACTCAACTGACCACCAACATAACATATCTTTCTTGTCGCAATATCATGGGTAAATGCACTAGAAAGTACGACATGAGATAACCAGAATAAAACATAAGAGAATACTCGATATAGGATGACTCAACATGATATACAAACTTATACATGTGACATATAGGCCTATGAGGCTGACTTAATCATTTGTACACTCAAAACATAGGCCGCCAAAGCCATACTAGTATCCAAATATATGAAATCTGTCTACAAGACTCTATGAGTACATAAACATTATCACGGCACAAACCGATGGGCCGTGACGGGTTCCTGAGTCCTACCTGCCAAACACCATTAATCATGCGTCTAAGATATAAACATGAATAACATATGTGAGGGAAACTTGTCCAAAAGACATATGTATATATACATGCAAAATATAGTGGGACGAACCGGCAAGGCTACTATAGACAGCTATGTACCCCAAACTGAAAGCTAATAAGGCCACATACTATCCAACTATACATAATTGTCTACAGACCTCTATTAGAATATACAACTGTACAAGGACAGGACTGGGCCCTGTCATACCCATATATGTATACAAACATATCGTACCAAGATCAAAAGCAGCTCTGGATCAAATGGAGCACACCAACTCTCGCTGATCAAGGATCCTAAGGAGGGGGACCGTTAGCTTGTCCACCCGCACATGCGGGCATGAAACACAGGCCCTGGGAAATAAGGCGTCAGTACGAATAATGTACTGAGTATGTAAGGCATGAAAATCAGTACATAAGAGACATAAATAAAACATGGAACAAGGAATTCCACCTGTAAGTCTAAATCACTTTGTAAATCCTGAAACATTTATAATGTCATGCATGTGCATATAAATGTCGTGCCATGCATAGGTATAGGTGTACATAACATCATCAAGACTTTAAGGGCATCCCACTGTATAATCTCGGCCATTATGGGCAATATCATCAACATATACCAACTGAGCAGGTGGTAGTGCGTATATAACGCGGTAACCATTTGCCATATCTTATATACATATAAGTACATATATATACGCATATATAACGTCATCTGGTCATGGATCAATGTACATGTATAAATAAATGAAATGCATAAAAATATGTTAATAAAATCAATATACCTTTAGAATAAACTTTATCAGCTACTTATTTTCTGAGACTCATGAACAGAAGATGTGATAATAAGATACATGGGAATTTAAGAACACATGCACATCTAATACTCCTATGAATAGGGTCATTTATGGAAGTTGTGCATTTGCTCGTTTTGTTTGTATCGTATGGATCATTCCAAAAAGAAAAAAGGGATAGCCTTAACATACCTGAACCAATTCTCTTAGAATTTGCAATTCACGCTTTACAAAATCAACAACCAACATTATCTAATTTTGGTATGGAATTGTTTTGCCCTTTGAAGAACTCACGACCAGCCCCTCTCTAAAAGAGATTCCATTTGATTTGTAATGTACACATGAATTCATTTGAAGATACTCACATTCTTAAGACTTAAATTGGCTCTCTTTTATTAGATGGATATGTGACTCATGTGCTTAAGACTTAAAATGACTCTCTTTCATTAAATGAATATGTGACTCATGTTCTCAAGACTTGCCAAATATCACTTCTCTAGTCTTGCCACGTAACATAACAACTTAAGAGTCACAATTCCTTGGGGTGGCTTGTTGCCACATGGGGGAGGGTCTTATCTTACACAGTCCTTTAATTAATTATCGAATGATTCCTGAATTAACTAGGTAATCTCCCATTACCCAATAATTAATTAATTACCTACATAATTAAGAATTACCTTAGCTTACTTAAAATACTACTCACTTTTAACATACCTTATACATCTTACTATCATGGTCATGTAGTACCTTATATGGTATTAGTCCATAAATATGAGGTATTATAGTTTGGACCGTATTTTATCCCAAATTGCAAAACATCGACGAAACTCATTTTCTTATATTTACTTACCCTCTCTCCTTCACGAGTTTACTCATCATGTGTTTTATATATCATAATGCTTATAGTCCCAAAATAACCTCATTCTCGAACTTACGTCGATTAACTGAAGACAAAACTTTAACGTACGAAAATGCAAGGTGTAACATCATTTCCTCCCTTAGAAACATTCGTCCTCGAATATTTAACTCCCCGGGATCTATATAAACTTTGGCAGTGTCGCCTTGGTAACAATACTACTACCAACTCTTCCTATAGAAACTCAATAATTCAACGCCACATAAGACCACAATCATCAATAACGACAATGGCCTCACACGACCAATGTCAATAATTAACACAAGTGTTTGTAGACATGTGATTTTTGACCTTCCCCAAGATTTTTCATATTTTTAGCACGTAAATATTTAATTTAGGCATAATATAGTTATTTCAGCTAATTTTTACTCTTTTACTTTATTTTATTACAAGAAAACGAAAATTACAAAAAAAAATAGTTTCATTAATGTTTTGTAATCATTTTTAATCATGAAAAATATCAAAATATCACGTATGACATTTAGACCTTATTTTTACATTTTTAGGATTAATTGGTAGGATTTATTATAATTAGTTAATTAGTTTAATTTCATATTTTTAGATAATCTAGGGTTTTAATTAGGATTTTCAATTAAAGAAAAGAAAAAGAAAAACAAAGAAAAAAGGAAAATAAGAAGAGAATTTGAAGAATGGGGTTTTAATTTAAATTTGGGCTGTTCATATACCCAAAATCTGGCTCCAAACCACTCAAAGCCCAAAAAGACCTGTCCGACCCGCCAGCCCAAACCCGACCCGCATATCCCACCCGGATCCCCTTATTAAAACCTAATAACCTAGGCAACATCCATCAGATCATTAGACCCCCCCTAACCTGAGCGCCGTTTTGACAAAGGACTTCCCCCCTAATTTTTATCTTCTTCGTTAATCCCCATCAAACCTTGGTGACTACTGCTTCCGCTTCAAAAAATCGGAGGCTCATCATCTACTTCATGAGAATTTAACAAAAATACCTAAGACCTAAAAAAAAGACCAAAAAAAGCTGACCAAAAAGCTGCCTAGAGAGGAAATATAGAGAGAGGAATGAGAGTGACGGCGGATTCAGAAGTAGAGCTTCCTAAACTTAATTCTATAGCGTCGGATATTCCACGTTTTGGGCGGAGTCACGTCCCTCGCCGTTAACCTTACTGCTTTTCTGGTCGCTCTGTGCTTTGCCACTATTTTTTGCCATATTTTCCGAGGAGTTCCGAGTTCGTCGAGGTCCTCTTCGGTCGATAGAAAATTTTCGGGTCAAAAATTCCACAAGTTTCAAGGTGCTGTAATTTTAATCCAAATGCATTTATATAAAGGTCTGATTCTTCCCTGCTCTTTACATGGTCGTTAAATATATTTGAGTATTCGTTGAGATTTAAAACGGAACATTCGAATATGGAGTTTGAGTATTTGACTATTCCCTGCTCTTCTATCGATTTGCTATTTTCCTTATGTTAGGAATTACTGATTTGTGGAGTTTGTTTCAATAATTATCACACTTTTCTTTATCATCGACTGGGAGTAGTTGTAAGTAGTATTATTAACTATTTCCTTACAGTAAATTGGGTTTGTAGATTTGTGATAGAGGACATGAACAATCTTTAACTCTTTTTATGATGGGAAAGTTGATGGTTTTCTTGACAATATTCTTTTGGCTCCTTCTGATTTTGTTCTACTTGGCTAGATTTGTATTTATTCGTGCTGTGAATATGCCCAATCTTTTGTAGTTCTTCTATCTTAATTAGCCCTTTGTTTTATTAGCAATTTTCTTACTTGATAAAAATAAGAGTAGCAACATTTTGCATACCAAAGAATTCATGTCGAAACATATGTTTGAAGGTGTTTATAAATATCTCACATTTTGCCAATCAACTGTTCTTTTTGAAATGAACCTATCAACCATTCTTGTATCCCTCTCTACGTCTAACATAACCCATTGTATATACGTGCTTTAGTCTCATGCTCGTCAAATCGAAACAATTCGTGAATATCCATAGGATACTTTAGGCGAGCTCTTGATTAATCAAATTATCGTGATTGTGTACATGTTCGCGTGACATAATTATGATCCTAAAAACCAATTTGGAGTATGCGTTCGCTCAACTTCGGCCAAACTTTCTTAATAATAATAATGTGTTATTAATTGTGGACACGTTTGCGTGATATGATTTTGACGCGCCAAACGAAATGAGTACACGTATGCGTGACTTGTTTTAAGATATTTTATAGTTAATAATCAAGTATTTAAAAGCGGTAAAAAGATAATTGCACATAGGTCTTAAGAATGAGTAGTTAAATAATTAAGCCAAATATAAATTGCTAAGCGACCGTGCTAGAATCACAGAACCCGGGAATGCTTAATTCCTTCTCCCGGGTTAACAGAATTCCTTACTTAGAATTTCTGGTTGGCAGACTTCAAAAAGAAAGTCAAAATTTCCTCGATTTGGGATTGAAAATAAATCGGTGACTTGGGAGACAAAATAAATTATCCCAAGTAGCGACTCTGATTAAATAAAATAATCCCATTTCGAATAATGTCACTTAAATTGAAAAAACTCCCTTATACTTCCCTCGGGTGGTAAAAAAGGAGGTGTGGCAACTTTCGCAACTCTGCTGGGGATTAAGTTGTGAGCACGTGATTTTTACCCTATATGAATTACTCCCACAAATTCAAAACAAAATAACTTTTCCCATTGTTTGCAATTTTGTGGATTTTTGTGGCATTTTTCTGTCAATTGTTTGCATTTGTCTGTGCACGTTTATTTTATTTAATTAATAAAAAACACAAAAAATATGTGTGTTTGCATTTAGGATTTAATTTAACATTTTAGGATTAATTAAGTAATTGAGTTATTTTATAAAAAGTGGAAAATCACAAAAATAGTTATTTTGCACCTTTTAATTTTAATTTTGATTTTGAGTAGTTTTTCTTTAGTTTATTAATTGTGGTAATTATTTAGGATTAGTTAGTATTTTTGATAAGTTAATTTGGTTTTATAACTTAATTTAGGATTTTAGTTTTAATTTTTTGGAAAAAAAGAAAAAAGAATTAATTTTGAAAAAGAAAAAGGAATTAGAGAGAGAGGTTTTTGGGCCGAAAATGACCCCAGCCCAATCAAATACCCGTCCAAACACCCCACCTAACCCGGCCCAATCCCTTTACCCGGTTCCGGTCATCTTCATTAACTCCAAACGACCCCGTTTCCCCCTAAATTAATCTCAGTCGTCTATGTTTTATGATCTAACAGGCGGGAACTGCTGTGGGGGTTCATATAAGAGTGTCCGAATTGCATCCACCACCACCACCACCCCCATTCCATCTTTCCCCCATTCCCGTCTTACTCCTTCAGAAACTAATTCCCCAAACCCTAGCCGGCCCCATTCCCACCTCCTAGTAGCCCAGCGGCGCCACCTCCAATATATCCCAAAATCACACCCTATAACCACCTCGTTCCCCTAATCTCAAATCCACATTCAGTTTCTCTCAAATACCCCCAAAACCGTTCGAATCTTAAATCTAGGGTTTCGAGTTCTAGAAGCCAAGTCGATTTATTCATGCTAGGACCTTCCTCCAGCTATTTCTTAATATTCAGAGGCGATTTGGTCTCAAAATGACGTTACTCGTTTGTGCTTGACAAAGAACAAGCGATTAATGTTATTTGGAGATGAAATCAGTGGGTCGAGTCCCGGGTTCGAGCTTTTGGTCAGTAGGTGTTTCTTTCCGGTTTTGTTCATATTGGTGTCACTTTAATTGTCGTTCTTCCTCGCCTATCTTTCTGTTTTTCCTTTCTTTTTCTCTGGTCAATTCAAGTAAAGTGTGACCAACACTTCTGGTTGAAAGTTAATTTGTGTGGCTCTATTCTTTGTTGGCGTTATTTTCCTAGTTTATTTCACTAATTTCTTTAGTTTGTTAAGTATGGCTAAGTTGCTGATTGTTATCCGGTTTAACCTCTTAGTTCAATTTGATTAGTTTGTTTTGACAACTTAATTAATTCTCTGCATGTTTGTATGAATTAATCAATAGATTAGTTAGTTTGTTGATTAGGGAAGTCGTTCCAGTATTTGTGTCATGCTGTTTTCCAAAGGCATACAGAATTTTGCTGGGTCAATTATTGATTTGGGCTTTGGGTCTCTGACCCATTTAAAAGGGAAGTTTAGCATGTTCATTCAGCTAAGCCATTGGGTCACTTTGACCCATGAGCTAAAGGGTAAATAACCTAGGTTTAAAAGGGTAGTTTAGGTAATTGGAGAAGGGAATCTGTTTAGTAACAGACTAAGGAAGCTTCCCGGAAGCTGAAAAGCAAGTTTACTTGGCAAACAAGCCAAAAATTCAGGGATTAAGTAGCAAAACTGAAAATTGGAGAAGGGTANACATTTGATACCTCCTCTTTGCTGTTTCTGGGCTGATTGTACTGCTGTTGTTGATTAACTCCTTGATCTCTTATTTCTTTCTTAAATTCCAGGTATGTGATGACTCCTGAATCATGAATGAAATGTAGAGCTGAAGGTTATGCAACCAAGTTGAAGTGGCTACATGTTTCTTTGATCAAATGCTTATTGGATTTCCCTATAGTCTCTCCACATGTTCTCTGATGCAGTTATCATGAGTAATTGTCTATATGGTCAATGTTATATTTCATTTTAAGACTTGGAGTTTGAATTTGCTTGAATGTAATGACTTAGGACCGTTTGGACTTTTAAATGTGTTGATGTGATTAAGAAATAAGGATTTTAGTTGATTAGTTGAAGTTATTTGGCTTGGCCATGGTTCAAATCCATTAATTCGAATTTTGGGTCTGACACAATCAATTCACGTTCTGCTTTCCCATTTTAGTTGTCAAAACTTGCTTTTTGATGGCTTGGAGTATTCATTAGCTTAAGTTTGAAGTGGCCTTTTGTCTAAGTTTAATTGATGGTGCAATGTTTAATAATGGGTATTGTGATTCTCCGGCTGTTAAGTGCCAATTTTCCAGAATTCGTTGATGTTTCCCTCCAACATAGTTTTGCAGATTAATTTGAAGAGTTAAAGATTTAAAGTTGCATGTTAGTTAGTTGTCAAAGCGGAATCTTGTTTTGTGTGTAAAATCAGTGGCATGCTTCATTAATAATTAGATCTTTCATGATTAATCAGTGCAATTTGGGTTCCTCAGGGATTCGATCCTAAGACTTCACTTCTCAGCTGCAGGGCTCCGAATTTGTGTTCAATTATGTGGCCAATTCTGAAAGTTCCTTTGGACGAGATCTAGGCCGTTTCTTTTGTTGAACTATCAGTCCTCTTGTATTAGCTCAAGCCCTTTTATGTAATGGATTAGTTTTTCCTTGTATAAGCCATCTTAGTTAGTTTTAATGGAACCTTTAGCTACATTTAGTGTTAATTAATTAGACTATTAACTAGATGAGGCGGGTCATATTCGATAACATAAATAATTTATGGCCCTCAAACATTTAGCTTGAACTCTCTTTTTTTTTTAGAATTGAGGTGCGCGGTGCCAAACAAAAATGACAATTGCATGGCCATCATTTTAATTAATCTTGCTTATCCTTAGAGATCGAGGCGTGCCATTTAGCGAATTTTCATGGCTCTCGCAAAGTTGTAAATGCGTAGTTGCTTTAGGCGCGTTGTTTTATTAATTTACCTCCCTAAACTCGGGTGCGCATTTATGTGACCCAAATCTTAACAACGTTAAATAAAATATGTCTCGGACTGCGGGTGCATTTCATGTGGCGTGATCCAAAGACGTGTTTTAGATGACGTTGAAATTTTCCTTAAAATAATTAAAAGCGGTTAGAAAGTTAAAATATACCCTAGGCTAAAACATGTATTAAAATCAGATAATATGTCAATTGTAACAGTTGAGTGACCGTGCTAGAACCACGGGACTCGGGAATGCCTAACACCTTCTTCCGGGTTAACAGAATTCCTTGCCCGGATTTCTGGTTCGCGGACTGTAATACAGAGTCAATCTTTCCTCGATTCGGGATTTGAAACGGTGACTTGGGACACCATAAACTATCCCAAGTGGCGACTCTGAATCTTTAATAAACAATCTCGTTTCGGTTGTCCTTAAATTGGTAAAACTCCCTTATACCCTTCCGGAGTGTAGGAAAAAGGAGGTGTGACAGCTCTGGCGGCTTTGTTGGGGAGAAAAACCCAGAATTTCCGGTTCAGAGTTCAAGAATTTGAGCTTTTTAATGCGATTTTTATTTGGATTTGCTGATATTACTGTATTTTGTAGACTTAATGTGCTAATTGTCATTTACCGCTTTGATATTATTTGAATTGTATTTAAATGTCTTCTTACAACATCCCTCTGAGCTTCTGAAAATGGTGCACACTTTCGCGTGGCCCACTTTTTCTATAGAAATTATACCAAATAGATCGAGGCTGGGAAAGCAACAAGGCCGGATAGACTTTAGTGCTTCCGGTACGTTTCCCCCTCTTCGACCCCAGTTGTCCGCTCGGGTACCCCAAGTCTAGACCAAAAACCCCAGGATTTAAACCTAGAAAAACACAAATTCATGTTGGATCCCTAGTATGAACGTTTGTTTGCATCATGTGCATTTGACTTAGGGGACTCGATACAGGGGTTGAGTCTGTCTAGGACAGGTGTGCCCAAAAAGAAAACAGACCATCCTGATACACTATATGTGCTATGTGCATATTTATTTGTTTCGGCTTACATGTTGACCGACTAGGGAAAATAAAGCAAAAAGAAAAATCAAGAGTGATGTAGGGAAGGAAATAAAGCCTGGTTCTAAAGAAAAACCCGATATCTGAAAACATCCCAAAACTCTGCCAAAATCTTTCAAAAAAGAGAGTTATTTCAAAAGAGTCAGACACTGTGTCCTTTTCAAATGTGTCAAAGTTGGCGAACTACGCAGGTCTGGTTCTCACCGGATGTGAGATACGTAGGCAAACCTCATCGGTTCCGGCCCATAATTTTCAAAAAATCCAAAAATATTTTCCTTTACTTCCTCTCTAGAAAAGTCTTTTTTTAGACCCCAATTTCAAAAAATCCAAAAATATTTTCCTTTACTTCCTCTCTAGAAAAGTCTTTTTTTAGACCCCAATTTCAAAAAATCCAAAAATATTTTCCTTTACTTCCTCTCTAGAAAAGTCTTTTTTTAGACCCCAATTTCAAAAAATCCAAAAATATTTTCCATTACTTGCTTCTTTAGAAAGCCTTTCTTTTAGACCCTAATTGTTTTTAAAAAAAATATACAAAAATATTTTCTTTTAATTTCTTCCAAAAATCCATTAATATTTTCATTCTTCTTTCAAAATTGAAAAGAAAATTCAAAATTCAAAAATATTTTCTTTTTTTAGAAGCATTTCTTTCAAAAATTCAAAATAAAATTCCAAAAATATTTTCTTTCTTCTTTAGAAGTTTTTCTTTTGAAATTCCAGAAAAAATATTCAAAAAAAAATCTTTCTTCTTTAGAAGTCTTTTTTTGCAAAAATGCTGAAGAAAAATCAAAATCCAAAAATATTCTCTTTCTTCTTTATAAGTCTTTCTTTTGAAAAAATAAAATAAAAAATTCAAAAAAAAAAGTTAGTTTATTTACTTTATTCATGATCTTCAAGAACTACGCTCGGTCTGATTCATGCGGGGTCATGATATGTAGGCAATCTCTATAGGATTCGATCATAACCAAAAGAAAAAAAAAAAAGAAAAGAAGAAAAAAGAGAGAGAGGAAAAATAAGAATGAAAAAGAGAAAAAAGAGGGAGAAAAGAGAAGTTGCAAATGGAAATAAGGAAAAGTCGGGATGACGCAAGCAGCCGATCAAATGCATAATAGAAACGGTTAACTGCTTAGGTGCATTCACTCCTCAAATGTGCGGTTGCTTATCTGTTAAAGCCCTAATCGCTAACAAGTTTGTTATTGATGAAATTATAGTTCAGGCAGGTGGTTAATTTGATTGGCATTCTGGCAACTCACTCCTACAACACCCGGTCCAAAAATAAATTGATCGTGGCCAATCAGGAACTTGAGGCAAGTATTGTCGATCTGTCAAAAGAGGTGGAAGAATCGGAGGTTAATCTAAAAGATGAGTTGTATAAGCTGAAGCAGCAGATGGCTGAAATGTACCAAGCATGGGCAAAAGGGCACCCACCGCCAGTTTACCCCGCCAACCCTGCTTTTATCCCGCCATTGGCTCAGCCACAGGAACCTCCCACTGTGAACTCATCTCCGGCCTTTCCCCTATACCAACAATGCCACGACACCACTTCCCATACATCACAAGCTCCACCACCCAAACAAGTCTCGTACCCTCATCCACCAGTCACTCCTGTTTTTTTGGCACGATCCTCTAGTGAGCCTCTGTTCCAGACTCACGACAACCAGTATTACTCCCCGGAGCCACTTTCAAGGTTCCCGAACCCTATTCCTACACTCCTCATTTTGACCTCCCTGCAGAAACCAAAAAACCATCTAAAAATCCCGAACAGGAGGAGATGTTTAGGAAAGTTAAAAGCCTGGAACAGTCATTCAGAGACATGCGGGGGTTGGGAGGTCAGGTAAGTGTGGCTTACAAAAATGTATGTCTATTTCCAGATGTGCAATTGTCGGCAGGGTTTAAGATGCCCAAGTTTGACTTGTATGATGGGCACGGTGATCCAGTAGCGCATCTGAGAGGTTTTTGTAGATAAATGAGGGGAGCTGGCGGGAAAGATGAGTTGCTAATGGTATATTTCAGTCAAAGTCTCAGTGGTTCGGCTCTGGAGTGGTACACTCGGCAGGATCACGGAAGATGGTACACATGGGATGATCTAGCCCAGACATTTGCTTGTCACTTCCAGTACAAACTCGAGATTATTCTGGATCGTCTGTCTTTGATGAAACTTGAGAAAAAGCACAATGAGAGTTTCAGGGAGTATGGTTTTAGGTGGAGAGAACAGGCAGCAAGGGTTGACCCTCCAATGAAAGGAAGTGAAATGGTGGATTATTTTCTGCAGGCCTTAGAACCTACTTATTACGATCATCTGTTATCAACTATAGGCAAGTCCTTCAATGAAGTGGTAAAGATGGGCGGTATGGTAGAAGAAGGGCTCAAGACAAACAAAATCATGAATTATTCGGCTATTAAGGCAACCACCCAGGCCATTCAAAGTGGAACTGGGGGAGTAATTGGAAAGAAGAAGAAAGAGGATGTAGCAACGATTGATTCAGGAGCTTGGTTCGGACCCAGGGATTCACCTCACCACTATCATCAGCCTCGTCCCCACCACCAAACCTACTCTCATACCCCATATAATCTACCTCAACACTACTACCCACCACCAGACCCCCATTTTTCTGTCCACCATGCCCAAACATACAGCCAACCTCCAGCCCACGCACAATGGCGTGCACCAATCCCACAAAATACATACTCAGCTCCACAAAATGCCTATCCACCCCCAAGAGCCTACCGAAACCCTCTTGGATCTGGTTTCCGGACTAGCCAAGCATTTAAGAATGAGAGGTTGCAAAAGAAGAAAACATTCACTCTATTGGGAGAATCCTATACCAGTTTGTTCCACAGGTTGAGACAATTGGGTATGATGAGTCCAATCGAGCCAAAACTACTAAACCCTCCCCGAGGAATCTTGATCACTCTATGAGTTGCGAATATTGTTTTGGTGCTCTAGGACACGACACAGAGAAGTGATGGCAATTGAAAACATCTATTTAAGAGCTCATTGATACTAATCGGATTGAGGTCCAAGCTCCGAAAGCGCCCAATATCAACCAGAATCCGTTGTCGGCCCATCATAA